CCTTGGGCCGCTGCTGCCACTTGGGCATAGACTGCGATGTCATATTGCATTTGTTGCTGAATGGTGGCGTATTGACCACTCCCGGTAAGCATCTCCACATTTCTCTGGGGCTGTCCGGCCTGTGCATTCCTTTGGGCTGTCTGGCTGTATCTTTCCTGAAACTCACCTCTCCAAATCAAATAATCTCCCCCTGACAGAGCTGCTCTGCAAAGCTGCTGCCAATCGCCAGGTGTCAAATTAAGAGACGCAAAAGATTCCATTAAGGAAAGTGTAAAGGGAGCCTGTGCTCCATAATTTAAAGTTGCCTCTTTTAGTTGTTTTATATCTTTGAAACTTAAAGGGTCATGGCGCCGAATGACCTGTCGAGAATTGTTCGGGTCTGGAACTTCCATTACCGGGGCCACCACCGGGCAGCATTGGACCCCTCCTCTGGGTCTTCCCTCCAGGTCCAAGAAGGACTGGGTTATCTCATAGGAGGAGTCCCTTTTTTCAGAGTATGGGGAAGGGTTTCTCTCCCTGTCCTGTCTTTCCTTAATTAGAATCTTTTTTAGTTCTTTTTTAAGGGCCGCGATCTCAGCAAGTAACCGTTCCTTTTCAGACGGTGACGAGTCTGAGTCTGAGCTACTTCCATTTTCTAGGTCTGATAGAGAAGGATATAACCGATTCTGACCGGAGTCCTTCTTTTTGGGTCGCACCCGGAGATGTCTACCCATTTTTTTGTTGTTACTAAGAGACTCCTCCTCATCCTCACTAACAATGGAGCCTCTAGTTTCAATCACGGTCTCTTTATCATCACTCTCTGCCCCTGAACTCAAGGAGGCTTGAGTCTCAGTCTCTTGTAACTCTAAAAAAGCCTCTTTTGTGTCCTGAACTACCTGGCGGTGACGAACCTTATCTGTCAAAAGTGCTCCCCTCACTAATCTCCATAAGGAGAATGTCGTAGGGGGCAAGGACTCAGATCCCTCTTTTTGTAAAAGTCTATGAAGATCACGGCGAACCTCCTCCCAATCTGGAATATTTAAGCTTCCCCCAGTAATGAACCATGGACTGGCTCGTTCGATCGATTTTAGAAAGCCTTCTAGGGTTTTAGACTTGACTGCAGTCCCATGTTCTTTAAGTAACTTTTTTAGTTGATACTGCAATGATTCTAGCTTCCCGGAACTATTCCCCATAGTTTCTTAACCCCGTCCACTTACCTCACTTTCACGATCTCAGTGGGACCTCCAATTGTCACGTCTGCTGCGCGGCCTGTGTCCGAGAACGTGTGGAGGGTGTCGGGTATTGAAAACACAGAGACTCGTTCAATGATATAAAGAGAACTTTAAACAGGCTCCAAAAAGGTTCAAGAAAAACTTCCTAAGAAAGGCTCCCACCAGAGAAGCCTCTGCTCTCTCCTCTCCCCTGGCTGGTCCTGCTCTGACACCAGAGGTGGATGTGTGTGGGTTTTTGAAGGTGCGGTTAGTCTCTGGACAAGGTCGAGGTCAGGGCGGTTTCCGTGGGAAGGCCTTTCCCAGGAACTTATTGTATCATTTTTAGTAAACAGGTTTTTACTAAACATTGTCTTACAGCTGCCTACTCCCAGGCAGAAGGGGAAGTGGCCAGGAACTTATTGTATCGTTTTTAGTAAACATGTTTTTACTAAACATTGTCTTATAGCTGCCTACTCCCAGACAGAAGGAAAAGTGGGTCTCTGCTCAAGGTCTGGTGTTCCCACAGTTGAGTACTTCTTTCTCTTTTGTTAGGTTTCTGGCTGGCTGGTGGTCTTTTCTGCTTTTTTTTTTTCTGAGACAGGGTTTCTCTGTGGCTTTGGAGGCTATCTCGGAACTAGCTCTTGTAGACCAGGCTGGTCTCGAACTCACAGAGATCCACCTGCCTCTGCCTCCCAAGTGCTGCGATTAAAGGTGTGTGCCACCAACACCCAGATGCCTTTTTCTTAAGCAGTCTTTATATATTCTGGATATGAGACTTCTGATTGTGTACGTACATGATGAGGTGAAAATAATTTCTTCCACTCTCTAGCTTTGCTGTCCTAGTCTTTAAGTGGTACCTTTTGATGAATAAAAACAATTCTCACATTTAATGATGTCCAATGCATCATTCTCCCACCTCCCACCTATGATTAGCACTTCTGTGCCTTTTAAGAAACCTGTCCCTACCTCAAAGGTTATGAAAGTCCTTTCTTACATTTTTTTCTAATTATACCTATAATTCGACTAGAAGTGGGTTTTTCATATAATGTTATCTGGCATCGTGGTTCTTTGTTTATTGGTGCCCACACAGCTGTCCAGTTGACCTAGCCACATTTATTGTAAAGACTGTCCCTTCCCTCACAGAATTGTAGTAAATCAAATGGGCATGTATTTGTAGGTCTATTTCTCACCACTCTGTTCTGGTCTGTTGGCTTACTTTCCTGTATCTCTGAGATTACCGCGTTGAGTTAGCTGTAAATTTGTTAAGTTTTAGAGTGAACTCTGCTGTCTGAAAACCCAGGTGTAGCACAAATAATAAAAGCCCAGAGACTGATATTGGGGTTCAAGCTTCAAGCTGAAGATCAGAGAAGCAAAGCGGCCAAGCCACTAGATCTTAACTCTATCAAGTGGAAATTGGCAATCCTATCTCCACAAATTCTGAGAGGCAAAAGTTCTCAGTTCCTGTCTCCTTCTCCATATATTCCTTTCTCCACCCAGCCATATCACTCCTGTCTCCACCTCCCTAATGCTGGGATCAGAGACTTGAGCTCTGTTACTCTTCATTCTTGTGTAGGCCAGGGTGGCCTTGACCTCAGAGAGACCCATCTGCCTGTCTCCGGAGTCCTGCAATTAGTGTGCCTCCTCTGCCGTGCTAGCTAGTATGGCTGCTGGGATTAAAGGTGTGTGTCACCACTGCCTGACCTCTAGAGCTTGAGGCTGGCTTTGCTTTCTGAATCCTCAGGCAAGCTTATACATAATGTATCACCATACCCAGGTCTTCCAACTCTGTTGTTTTCAAGACAGCCTTGACTAATTCGTGCCTTTTGTATATCCTATCAATTCTTCTTAATGGTACAAAAATAAGCTTTAATTTTAATAGCAGCTGTTCTGAATTTTATGAAAATCATGCCTTCCCTCTTGATGATGGATGATGGCCTATTTGTAACAACTTTTTATCATTTATTCAGCAGTATAATATAAAAAATATATGTATCTGTACTTGCTTTGTTTTGCAAATGTATACAAAAGGAAATAGAATGTCAATAGTTAGAGGTGGGAAGAAAATGAGTAACAATATAAAGTAACTGAGTGTGTGGGTTACTCCTGGAACAGGAGGGCTGTGCATTTGAGGGCCCCTGGGCTATGGTAAGACCCTGTTTCAAAAAACATCCAAGACAAAACAAAAACAGAACAGTTCAACAATAACAAAAAAGAATGTAAAATAAAGCAATAGATAAAATTAAGGTAACCTTGCCTTTTTGATAGAGTTAGGGTGGAAACTTTTGATTTCAACTTTATTAACATCAAAAAAGACAATCGTTTGTAATTCACAGGAATCAATATAAAAACATTTGCTTGAAAGGAGAGTTTTCCCCAATACTGAAAGCTGAAGACATGATTTTTTTTTCTTCTGTTGGATTTTAAAGATGATAACCTGATCCAACAGTACTTTGGATAATATTTGAACACAATTTCAAAACCCTATTTATCTTGACAGTTCTATTGAATCCTCAACAGTATAAATGTGTGTTTTTCTGATAGTCTTGACTTGATCCAAGGTAATGGGCTTCATCTTTATTAAAAATAAATAGGATTTGTATCACTCAACACACCATGAATTAATCTATTTGTTGGAAAGAACCTGTGTTTTTCATTTAGGTATGTCTGCATACTTGGATAGACAATGGAGCAGAGGTTCTGTGAGTTTGTGGTATTCTTTATTACTGAGTAGTAATCCTTATCGCCAGGCAAATAAGTTCTTTTATTTGCATTATAAAATTTAATCCTCAGAACAATCCCTTGGGATAGGATCTGTGGTCATCATTTCTTCATGGACATAGAAGTGAGGCAAATACCCTGTCAAAGTCATACTACAAGTAAGCAGTGGACTCGGGATTGGCCTCTGCCAGTTGGGCCTCACTTCCTGCTACGTTGACATTGCTGATAAGGACCCACTGTGGGACAGACGTGTGCTGGAATCATGCTTGCCTAGAGTGTTTTCCCCAGGAAACACATGTCTAAGTCCGTTACACAGATGGACAGATGGTGAAGAAAAGGAGATCGTACATTAACAACGATTTTTGCATGAGATAGAAATTTTACATTTCTTTTAGTGTGTGTTGTACTTATACTATGGTAAAGTCACTCTTCTGAGTAATCATTATTGAATAGCTTTATGTTGGAATTGTCACTTTTCTTTTAAAAAATTCTCTTGATACAAAGCTATCAAAAGAAGCCAAAAAATGGGGTGTCCTTCCCTCAGAGCCTCTCCCATTCTCTGGAGTTCCTTTTCACTTTTCCTTTATAAATTTACATTCATAAGATTTATAAGATTATATTAAGAGGAAATAGGAGGAAGGGAGGAAGAGAGATCAAATATTTGCTTAGCTAATTGACATATATGCAAAATAAATTAATTTTATAATAATTGTTATTTAACTTTTACACATGTAAATTAATGTTTTTATGCTTTAATAGTTTTCAAGTCTTTTTCACAATTTTAGGATGATCTTTTTTAAATGATGTAATTAAAGATAAAGAAGAATTTTCAATGCTTTACAACTGGCATTCCTGAAAGCTTAATGAAAATTGTAGAGGCAGTTTGACTATTTTATGATATGTATACTTTTGTTAGAAACTTGCATTAAGGTTTGTTTGTGGGCATTGATTGGTTTTTAAATGAATGTAGTAATTTATATTCGCAACTAGTTTCCCAAGTAAGGGGTAACTATAGGAACACTTCTATACACAGTATTAAGAATGAAATAGAGCTAATTCAAACATTTCACACTTTTCTATGTTCATTTTCAGACTGAAGGCTCAGAACAAATGTAGAAAGATGTTCACTTCAGAGATGGGGGTTGTGGAAGAATGGCTGTCAGAATTTAAGGTAACAGCAAGTCTTCTAATATAGCAATTTTATCCTAAGCATAGTTTGTCTGCATTGAAATTCTAGTGGCTTTTTATATTTTATGTGACTAGCGTGCTAAAGCGTTTGTGGAAAAAGAATGTACTGTATCATAGTAAGGAGCTGTTCATGCACAGTGGTCTTTTGTGGAAGATTTCTTTCCTCTCCCCCAAGTGTCTCAAAGAGCTTATTATCTGTGTATTCTCTTTCTCCCACGTGACATTACCGTGATCATGAATGCTGATGTCACCCTCCAGGGATCATCAGTGATCCATTGTCAGGAATAGGATGGGAAATAGTGGACCTGGTCATGATTGACAGAAAGCAGAGGGCAGCAAGATATTTATTTAATCTTCACCATGGGATCTGTGTCTGGACGGCGACCTAGGAGCTGTAACCCTTGACTCACTGGTGAAGAAAACAAAGCTTAGGCTCTGCTGTCCTCTGAGCTCTTCTCTATGGTGGCAAACAGTATTCCTTAAACCAGCTAGCTCCTTTCTCCTGCCCTTGTGGGACACTTTGTGACCCGGAACTACAGACATGAAGAGACTGGGCAGCAAATGTCATTTTGATTTTGTCTGGGATGATTTGGGACAGATATACAATGTAATAGTGTCAGGTTTCTAGGCTTGCTACAGGGAAGGAAACTGCACAGCAATTCAACAGTGACATCACCAAACAGAGGAAGCATTTGGAGGAAAGGTATTTTAGGTGAAATTTAGATGAAACCATGTTTTGATGGGCTCAGAACAGTGTAGGACTGTGTGTAATGGGGTTAAGTTCTAGACTGGACATGAAAATAGACTCAGAATCCTGCCGTCTTGAGAACTGTTAGTCTTGGTCTGAAGGTCTTTGTCTGTAATGGAAACCAAGACTGCCCCTCTGTGTTGGTGAGCTAGATTCTTCAGGCAAGAGGCGTGTGTCATTCTTACCGATATGTGTTCAAATGACAAAGTTGGGATGACCTGTGATTATAGACAAGGCTCTTCAGTGAGCAAGATTACAACAGTCACTCAGAAAAGGAGGTGTTACTACACTCTAGCTGCTAGGTGACCTGTTAATCTTATGCTGGCTTTATCTGCTTCTGTTATCTAATCCTCATGAATGCTGGATAGACTTTGATACTTTCTTAGGCCCCCTCCCGATACCCCAAGACAGGTTTTTTTGTGTGTGTGTGTGTAGCTCTGGTTGTTCTGGAACTCACTCTATAGACCAGGCTGTCCTTGAACTCATAGAGGTCCTCCTGCTTTTGCCTCCTGATTGCTGGGATTAAAGATGTGTGCCACCACTGCCCAGCTACTTTCTTAGTTTTTATTGAGTATCCTTCTTTGAATTTCCTAATTCACCATGAAGCAGTATAGAATGCTGTAAAAGTACACTATATAGTGCTTTTTACAAATTTTAATATTTAGATTAAACCTTTTATGTGTTTCCCTCATGTTAGCTTTGTAAATGATTATTCAAGGAGTTTAAAAGCTTTTCTTCTGCTTCAAAAGTATTTATAATGTTTTGCTACATATTGTTCTAATTTTGGAGTGAGGGCCGGTTGATGGAACTGTTCTGATTTAACTGTTGAGTGCCATTTCTTGTAGACCATTCTTATGTCAAATGTGGAAAAGCTGGCCAGGGGTGGTTCATGCCTTTAATCCCAACACTTGAGAGGCAGAGACAGGTAGATCTCTGTGAGTTCAAGCCCAGTCTGGTCTATAGAGTGAGTTCCAGGACAGGCTCCAAAGCTACAGAGAAACCCTATCTTGAAAAGCAAAAACAAAAACATAAAATGTAGAAAAGCCAACATAGCCAGTTACTGATTCCTTAAGACAGAGCTGTACATGGAAGACCTGTTAAATAGTGGTCTCAGGGGAGGGGTCAATGATTATGGCAGATGTTTGAAAATCATGATGCCTGTGCTGGCGAGATTTATATAAACTTGACACAAACGAGAGTCATCTGAGAGGAGGGAACCTCGACTGAGAGAATGCTCCCCTAAGATTGGGCTGCCGGCAAGATGTGAGCGTTTTCTTAATCAGTGATTGATGGGGAGGGATCAGCCCATTGTGGGTGCTGTCACCCCTGGGCTGGGGGTCCTGGTTCTGTAAGAAAGCAGGCTGAGCAAGCCATGTGGAGCAAGCCAGAGAGCAGCACTGCTCCATGGTCTCTGCATCCGCTCCTGCCTCCAGGTTCCTGACTTGTTTGAGTGTCCTGACTTCCTTAGGTGATGAACAGTTCTGTGGAAGTGTAAGACAAAGCAACACTTCCCCCCAATTTACTTTTGGTTATGGTGTTTCATTATAGTGATAGAAACCTTAAGGCAATGCCTATCTGCTAATTCTTTCCCATTCCTGCCATAGTGCTCAGGAATCTAGGAAGTACAGTAGGAAGGACCCAGGGCAGCATAGCAGTGTTGACAGTGGTGTGTCCTGGTGTCTGAGGGAACAGAGTACTTATCTGATTAGGAAGAAGTGTTGCAAAGGTGACTTATACAGGAGCTGGCTGGAGAGGCTGCGTTGATAGATTAGCGGCACTATTACATACATTAAGAATATGGGAATTAGATTTTGCTATGTCTGAGAAAGGCATTGCAAACCTGGAATAGGTTTTGTTGAAAGAAAATCAAGAAGTGTAGTTAGACTAATTGGAAGACATATGCACTTGAAAAAGGCATCTGATACCTTGGAAATGGTTGTGAGCCACCCAATGTGGGTTCTGGGAATGGAACTTGGATCCTCTAGAAGAAAAGCAAGTGCTCTTAACAGCTGAGCTGTCTATCTCTCCAGCCCTGTGTTTTGTTTTTGCTTTGTGTTTGTTCATTTTTAAAGAAAATGCTATGTTTCTTTTGCTTGTTTTGTTTTGAGTAGCACATCCATGGTAACATTATTGTAATTGATTGAGTGGGCTGAGCGTCAGCAACCCTGTTGATTGGATCCCCATTCCAGTAGGTGGTTTTCTTGAGTAAATCATTACAGCTCAATCAGTAGCATCAGAAAGGTTGAAGTTGCCTGTAGAGGCGACTTCAGCTCCATGATGTGCCCTGCACAGTCTGACTCAGCAGCCTCTGAAACCCGCAGAAACAATGCAGTTAACCCCTGCAAAGCTTTAACTAAAACTTTATACACAAAGTAAACACAGGTAAAATTTTTTCTAGTGGGCTGGAGAGATAGTTCAGGGTAGGGTGAGGGTAGGGAGTGGAGGAGCTTGCCACCAAATCTGATGATCTGCGTTAGATCCCTGGAACCCACAGAGAGGACTAACTTCTACAAGTTGTCCTTTGACCTACACACACACACACACACACACACACACACACACACACACACACACACACACTAAGTAAATACAAATAAGTAAATGTAAAAGCTTTAAAAATTAAAGTCTTTTACTTGTAGAAAAGCATTCACTGTCTGCACTAGATAATCTTAGTATTTCCTTGATAATCTAACAAAGTAATTAAACTAGAATTTCATAAATATTTAATATTTTCAAAGATTTATTTGTAAAAAGAAATTTCAGATTTCTTTGTGTTTTTCTTAATGTTGTGTGTATATTACCTAACAGATTCTAGACTCCTAACTTGTTTTAAATTTTCTGGTAGTCACTGAATCCATTTTCATGTGTGAAGCTGTTGAACCGGGCTGTTCTGTTTACTGATTCTTCACCCATCTGCGCGTCTCCATTAATTCTCTTCACCCAACCCATCTCACCTCCTTACACGTTAAAGCCATCTGCTACACGGCACTTTAGTATGAAGCATCTGTTTCCTTTAAAAAATTGCCAAGAATAAATTTAACATAATTTTTATTTTCATCTCCATTCCTGCCTTCTGTAACATGAAAAACTTTAGCTGGTGGTTGGTTGAGAAGGCCAGCAGTTCTTGAGTTCATCTGGTCCTTTTAAGGTCCATTGTTCAAAGCACTGCTTGTTTTGTTTGGATTTTTATGTGTTTATTTTATGCATATATGTGTTTTGTCTGCATGCATCTCTGTGTACCACGTGTGTGTCTGGTATCTGCAGAGGCAAACAGAGGAGGTGGGACCCCCTGGGACTGGAGTTATAGACAGTGGCTATGAGACACTATGCAGGTGCAGAGAGTGGGGATCCATCCCAGGTCCTCTGGAAAACCAGCCAGCGCTCTTAATGCTGAGCCACCTCTCCTGCCTCCCTCTCAAAGCACCATGAGCACAGTAGTTATACCCTTCCCTCTGTAGAAAAGTGATTTTGCTCACATCCATACCATGCGGTAGTGATGGAGTTTGGGCTGAGTGTGATAATCACCTCTCTGGTTTTAAAGGCATTCTTTTCTCGTTTACCAGCAGCAGCCCAGGACATTGTATTTCACAGAGTTTGACTCTTTGGAAAGAAATGATCTTTTGTTCTGGCTATTTCTTTTTCTCTTTTAAAATATTTTATTTAATATTCATATACGCATATGTGTTTAGATTAAATCCTCCCCTTTCTCTTCCCTCCATTCCTTCCTTATCTTCCCCCTCATTTTTCTCTCCTAATATCATATGCTTTTTCTTTTAAAAAACATTTAATACCTTCTGCATCTATTCAGTACTGCCTGTGTGTGTATATAGATGTGGGACTATCCTCTGGAACATGGGTAGCCTCTCAGAGACTGTATTCTAGAAGAAAACTGACTTTCCGTATCCTAGCAGCCATCAATTGCTAATAGCTCCTCGGATAGTGGTGGGACTTTATGAGCCCCTCCCCTATCTCTGCTGGGACTTAGGCTGCTTGATCTTAAGCAAATCTTATACAATCTTAGTTGCTGAGTTCATGTATGAACTGAGCTGTCATGTCTGACAAATGCCGTTTCAATGCATATATCTACTCCCTCTGGCTCTTACAGTAGTTATTGTAGCTTGCAGGGCTTACTAGTAGGACTATTGGTGATGTTTCCCTGGTAGGATGCTTAGAGCATTCCAGCACCTTGAAAGTTAGCAGTAAAGAAGCTTCCAGGGTATACCAGCTTGATTTCTCATGTCTTGTTACTCAGATGTGTGGTATCTTGAGCAGTGGGATTTCACCTCAAGTTCTGGAAGGTAACTGCTTAGAGTTCCTTTTGCTGTGAAGAGACACCATGACCACAGCAACTCTTATAAAGAAAAGCATTTAATTGGGGCTGGCTTACAGTTCGGAGGTTCATCCCATTATCGTCATGGCAGGAAGCGTGGTGGCATTCAGGCAGACATGATGCTGGAGAATGAACTGGGAGTTCTACATCTTGATCCACAGGCAGTAAAAGTGAATGGCATGCTAGGCCTAGCTTGAGCTTCTGAGACCTCAAAGCCCACCCCTACAGTGACACACTTCCTCCAACAAGACCACACCTCCTGATAGTGCCACTCCCTATGAGCCTATGGGGGCATTTTTATTTGAATCCCTACAGTAATCAAGAGCAATGGCAAACAAACAAACAAACCCCCCAAAAAACAAAAACCCTGTAATTTAGATGGGGAGTGGTGGGGAGATCTTACTGAATAATAACGCAACGAGATAGCCAATACCCTGTATTGGGTTTTTATTTGATAATTATGGTCGCTAGGGGTGTCAGTGTCGTCCCCCCTTATAAGGTAGCTCATTTTATGTATATACATATATACACACTCACATTTTAGGAAACTTCTATGGTAGTAGGTTTCCGTAAGAAAATTTCTAAAGTCTTTAGTGTTAGGATTAAATGGGGTGGGGGGATGGGAGGGCAGTATGGGGAAAGACAAGTAACACTAAATGCCTCTGACTGTTTCACAGAAAATATGTGTTCATATAGACTACATAGTATGCTTTACACTTAATCTTCAGGCTTATCTTATTTAGGAGATTAGAAATCTGATGCTTATTTGATTATCACTCCCTTTTATATAAATTTCTCCAGTACTGGGTTACTCTTGATTAAATGACAGGAATGGAATGTTGCCTGGAGGCCTTTTGTTACTTGCTTTTGAAATACTGAAGAATGCCTTATGTAAGCAGTGCAGTGGCGGTGTTTGTTGTGGTGGTTGCTGCTATTGTTCTGGAGAATGGTGGAAGGTTCCCAAATGGTTCACACTTATGTGCCATGCTGGTAAACACAACTCTTATTAAATTAGAAAAGCCTATTGACGTACATGTCTTCAGGCAAAATATGACCTGTTTTTAAAGAATCTGCCCAAGTGCAGACAATTGTGGTTTCATTTCTTATTTTGTCCTTCTGTGTTCTCCCATTGGGGGTCTAAGGCTTTATGCTGAGTGATGGCAGTGGAGAGGATAGGGCAGCTCATTCCCTCAAGGAGACCAATAAAGGAGGAACGAATCAAATAACTCTGCTATAAAAATGGGGCAGCTTAATTTTCTGTGCATAATTTTGCACACATAAAGCTATGTATTCTAGCCACGGCCCACATTAAACCATGAAATACTGTGTTATGGGATAGGTGAGAAATGGTGGGTGTCTTAAATGACTGATAGAAATATCTTGACATGTTATGTCTGCTGTGTGATTAGCACCAACTGAGTGAGGGAGCGAATGAGTGAGTGAGTGTGTGAAGGAAGGAATGGGAGTGGGAACAATGATTGGGAGACAAATACTGCTAATGAGATATGCTCTAAAAGATAAGGCAGATCTAGTGAGTTCAAGGCCAGCCTGGTTTATAGATGGAGTCCCCAGGACAGGTTCCAAAGCTGCAGGGGAACCCTGTCTCGAAAAAGAAAAAAAAAACGTTGTTGAATTATAATTCACATCACATAGAATTCACTATCTTAAGTGAGAAAGCAGGGTTGGTTTTATTTATTTTTGTTCTTGTTCTTTTGGTACATTTATATGGTTGCTGTTAGACACTCTTTCTCCCTCCTTCAGTCTATGTTAATGACCAATGGATATATTTTTTTGCTTTAGAACTACATAAAAATAAAAGCTGTTCTTTTAAATTTGTTTAGACCCTCCCAGAAACATCTTTGCCAAATTACGCCACAAATTTGAAAGACAAGAGTTCATTAGTTTCGTCTCTCTATAAAGTTATCCAGGAGCCACAAAGTGAGGTAAGTACTTTACAGTTTGTATTAATAGTATTAAGTTGATTATTTTAATTATCAGATATAGCATACATATGTAAAGTAAGAAAATGTAGCCGGGCTTTGGTGGTGCATGCCTTTAATCCCAGCACTCGGGAGGCAGAGGCAGGCAGATCTCTGTGAGTTCGAGGACAGCCTCCAAAGCAATACAGAGAAACCCTGTCTCAAAAAACCAAAAAAAAGAAAATGTGTATGTTTGCAAAACAAGAATAAAATATCAAAAACTAGAATCTTTACTATATCCTCAAGTCCATCTTTCTCCACATTTCCTTTTCTCTGTGTGTCTCTGACTCTCCATAACCTTGGAAAGTCTAGGTAACTGCATTGTTTTTAAGTCAGCAAATATTTATATATCTACTATGAGCCATTACTGTGATAGACATTAGGGGCTCAAAGATCAGCGATAGGACATCTTTATCCCCAAGAGAGATAAGTGTAAGAGACCAAGCAGCCATGTTTAATTGAGTCTCTTGATACTAGGTTCTGAGTTCAGTGCCCAGTGTAAAGAGTGGGGGAAAGACTGGAATTGTTATGGACTTGGTGCTGTTCTCAAAGTGAATTGGACTTCCACAGCTTTCTTGCCTTTCTGTCTTCTGTTGTGAGGTGACACAGAAAGAAGTCTCTTGGTCTGAAGAGCTGTGAAGCAATTCATTCTTTATAAATCACCAGGTATCATAGCAACAGCAGCAAAGTGAAGCAAAACGAAAACTAGACCATGAGCAAATACAGGTTTTCTATGTGGCAAGTAAAGCAAACACTCCTGGCAGCAGGAAAGTGTAGGGAGACTGGGGAAGAGCTAGGCATTGGCTGGATGGTATTGGGTCTGGCTAGTGCCTTCCCTGTTGAGGGACTAGAGAGTCAGAGCACTGGGGTAGATGGGATGGAGGTGCGTTGCATGATGCCTTTTGTTTTTGAGCTTGTGGAAGGATGTAATAGGTTGAAAGTCAATCTCAGTGTCTCTGTCTCTCTTTCTCTGCGTCTGTCTGTCTCTCCAGGGTCTCACTTTGTAGCTCTGGCTGTCCTGGAACTCATTATGTAAACCCGGCTGGCCTCAAACTCATGGAGATCCATTTGCCTCCGCCTCCAGAGCATTGGTGTTGCTGGCCACTAATCTCTTTATTCAGTGGTAGGTAATATCCTGCAGGTAATATCCTGCAGAGTCCAATCCTGCATGGGTCCCTGGATCTTTGCAATCAGACTGTACAAATCAGGGGATTTTGCTATTTGGGTCATTACTTTATGTCGGAAGGCATACAGAATAGTCCAGCTTCTACTTGTTATTCTGTGGAGTGCACTGTAAATGGATATGGAGATCTCCTGACACCTTGTCCTCACTTCATAATACTGAAGTTGCCCAGGGGTCCTTGACAGCAATCTTCGGCCTCCAAAGAGCTCAGGCTGCAGGAGTGTGCCACCATGTCTGGACAGCCCATTTCCTTGAAGGATTTTGCTTTAAACACCCCCACACACACCCAATTTTCTAGTGCTTTGTTCCTCCTAAACCCCACCTATGCAAGCAGTCCCTGGCTTTCTGAGAGCACTTGCTTTGCCTGTGACAGTGATCTATCGTGCATCTGTTTATCTGTTTGGTTTTGTTCTTTGTGGTTGAATAAAACTCCATTTTCTATATGCAGCACCCTTCTTTGCCTGTTACCTATTGATGCCGCAGCGCCTAGGCCAAGTCCATAATTGTGAAGAGTGCTGTGGTAAACATGGGTCTGCAGATGTCTTTACCATGAGCTGACTCAGATTCCTTTTTGTATATACCCAAAAGTGATATATCACAGTTGGGTTTTTGTTTTTCCAAAAGAGAGTTTCTCTGTGTAGCTTTGGGGGCTGTCCTGGAACTTGCTCTGTAGACCAGGCTGGTCTCGAACTCACAGAGATCCATTTACCGCTGCCTCCCAAGTGCTGGGATTAAAGGTGTGCTCCACCACCGCTCAGCCACAGTTCTATTTTTAATATTTGGAAATGCTGAGGTTTTTTTCTTTTTCATTTGTTCAGTGCTGGAAACTGAATCCAGGGCCTTGTTCATGCTAAGCAAGTGCATTACCACTAAGATATACAAATCCTAGCCAGAACTCGGGGTGTACTTTAAAACAGATAGCGGATATGTGATGATTAGGTTCTCATTAGACTACAAAAAGATCATTTAGGAGGTTGAGGTAGCTTGTAAAGTGCTTTCCATGCAGGCATGAGAACCTGAGCTTGGTCCCTAGAGCCCATGAAAAACCGTTGAATGGTGCTGCATGCTAGCAATCCCAATGCTTGGGAGGGGGATCCCTGGGGCTTAGCCATTCAGCCAATGTAATTTGCAAGCTGTCTCAAACCAAGGTAGATACCGCCTAAAGAACCACAGTTGAGGTTGGTCCTTGCCCTCCATGTGCATGAGTGCGCGCGCACACACACACACACACACACACACACACACACACACACACACACACACACGCACTCACGCGCGCACACATACACACACACACACACACACACTTAATATGAGGTACAGGCTTATCGTAACAGTTATTTAATAATCTAATGATCGTGTGGCAATGTTTCCATGGGGAAATATATTCCAAAATGTAACTGAGCCATTAGCAACCCAGCATGTTCAGTTGCACGCCTAAAATATATTCACATTATATATTGTGATTTTGTGACGTTTGTAAGAGTTAGAAGCTCTGGCTCCTTCCTGGCTCTTGTGAATGTGTGCTGTCTGTCATGATCTTCATTTCTGTATATGAACAATGTGACTGATCATATTCTACTTACAGTGTAATGGGAATTAATGTTTCTGTATGAATAGTACTTTGCAAGCTGTGAAACATCGAACAGATGTTGGTATTTATCTGTATTGACTTCAAATGCATAATTTTATTTAATCTTTTTGCAACATGATTTTTCTTCTCTTTAAATCTGTCTTCATTTAATTCTGCTTTCATTAAGCAAAAAATTCTTTTAATTTGGTATTTGAAACTGGTTATAAAGACTCTGAGTGTGTTTTGATTAAAATTGATTATGTGTTCTTACAGAGTGTCTTGAATGAATTTTCTAGCAAGGTTCATAATTGCAAATACTTGTTAAACTTAACCAAGCTTCCTGAATTGATTCAATTAAAGCTTGCTTGGGGATTTGGAAATAGGAGTGTTGGGCTGCAGGGAAGTCCTTAGGGCTTTTGATTTGTTTGAGACAATGTTACCTTTTGCTTTCTAACCATTGTTGTGATATAGGAAAAAATACCCCTTATGGAAGAGTAGCTGTCAGAGGTGGATGTGTTTGACTTAATACTTAGTTTACTTATTTAGTCTATTTGAAATCAAAATGTAATCTATTTCATTGGTTTCTCTGTGTTGTAATTATTAGTAATAGAAATCTGCTTGATAGCTTGATTTAATTTGTTGTCTGCTAATGAGATATATAGTTTATTCAAGTTCCCTTGAAAAACAGTACCTGTGACTCTCCTGACACATCTGACCATGCTTTGTGTTTGATTACAGTGCGTGACTTAAAGTAACACTTGAGAGACATGAGAGTCTCTTAACTTACTTTTCTGACTTTTAGGAGTCTTTAGTAAAGGCAGAGTTATCTGTACTAACATAATATAATTGGGAGTATAGTGAGAAAGAAGAAGGCTGTAGATGATCCTGACTTATATTATATGTAAAGCCAGGGACAGTAACCATGCTTCAACAGGGGTGTGGGCAACTAACGCCATAACTGTTCCACACATGGGAGAAAGCTGTGGGTCATGATTCTGTCCTAGCTTCTTCTGCTCTGTAGACCATCCCGTATATGTTGACTTATAATTTACTAAGAAGGAAGACATTAAGGAAGAGTTGCCCTGTAGCTTAGCTGAGAGGTAAGATGACATGACTTAAGTAGAGTACTCATTGAGAACTGTGGAGCATCGTGCTGACGTGGTACACCGTCCCTCCCTCCACTAGAATCGAAAGCTTTCTGAAATAGCTGGGAAGTGACTCTTTTTGCTTCAGGAAAATTAAAATATTTGTATATATCAGAGTTAACGATACTGAGAAACTTCTATAATTCATACAGTGGTGTCATTCACATGCAGTCCAGTTCATGTTTACCGTGTCGTCTTCTTCCAGTTGCTAGAGCCTGTGTGTCACCAGCTCTTTGAGTTCTACCGCAGTGGGGAGGAGCAGCTGCTGCGGTTCACCCTGCAGTTCCTCCCGGAGCTGATCTGGTGCTACCTCGCCGTGTCAGCCAGCAGAAATGTGCACAGCAGTGGCTGCATCGAGGCCCTTCTTCTAGGGGTTTACAACCTGGTTTGTATCTGATGGATTAACAAAATGCTTTTTGGAAAACTGCTTTTCATTTTAGTAAAACCACTATTCATTAAAAGAAGGGATAGCATGGTGACATGTGTCCTTAGTTCCAGCACTTGGGAGGCAGAGGCAGAGGCAGATGGTTCTACTTGAGTATGAGGTCAGCCTAGTCTACAGAACGAGTTCCAGGACAGCAAAAGAAAAAAGAACCTAATAGTATTGGGACTTCTCTATAATTATCTAAACCAACTTGCATAGGTTGAATGAAAGCTGAAACTTAGACCATTTGAGTTATAGAAATAGCAATATTAATAATAATAAAGTTATAGAGAGATAACAATAATGATAGCAATAACAACAACAACAATAATAATAACAATATCACCAGTGGGGTTTTATTTCATTGTGTTTAGAGACAGGGTCTCACAATTTTTTTTCTGGATCTTATTTTTTTCTTTTAATTTATTTTTTTTACTTAAATTAGAAACAAGTTTGCTTGATATGTTCTTGTCTTTTAAAAATTGTCTTAGAGGGAAGAAAGGGAAGGGAGAAATGTAATTAATATTATAATCTCAAAAATTTAAATCTGAAAAATTTGTCCTGGTAATTTAATTTTATTTTTAAAATGTTATGTGTGAAAGGTGACTGTTTTAAGATATTTTCTTTTACTTTTGTAGGAAATAGTTGACAAACAGGGACATAGTAAAGTATTGAGTTTTACAATTCCATCTTTATCCAAACCATCTGTATATCATGAAGTAAGTAGTTTTTTATCAAAGTAAATTTATTGGGTCCTAAACTCTCATAGTCCCATATATTAGGGTGTAGTTACCCATGCATAAAGGTGTATTATTAGTACCTCAAAAGGTACTAATTAGCACCACACAGAGTGTATACTGTTCAAAAATAAGTCAAAATCATTAAGCAGTGAACTAAGATCTAATAGCGAGAACCTTATTGAAAGGTTTTGTTTTCTTTAATCTTCATGTAATGGGTTAGACTCACCTTAATTTGTGTGTATGTGGGGGGGGGGTGGACAATTGTGTACTCCATGATAGAATTTGGGAATTAAACTTTCTGATTTTCATTTGTTAAAATGTTTTTAATTAATGAAAATGTGAAAGTGTTTAATTTTTATTAACTCTTGAAGTAGAAATTTGATAGGCAGTCTGAATATTTGTAAGGTGTGTGGTGCCCCTAGTAGGCGCTCTCTGTGCTTTGTGTGTTCTAAACGTCACATTCAACAGAACCGCATCTTTTCTCTAGCCTTCCAGCATCGGGTCTATGGCTCTGACGGAGAGTGCGCTGTCCCAGCATGGCTTATCAAAAGTCGTGTACAGTGGGCCCCATCCTCAGAGGGAGATGCTGACAGCACAGAACAGGTACACTGTGAAGAGCCAGCTCTTCTACGACACCACGCTGTTTAAAAACTATTTCAGGGTCGGGTCGGGTTGGGGAAAGGACCGAGAGGGAGAACAAGGAAAGAGACACCTTGATAGAGGAAGCATTTGTGGGGTTAATGAGAAACCTAGCACTAGGGAGATTCCCAGGAATCCACAAGGATGACCCCAGATAATAATCTAAGCAATAGAGTAGAGGGTACCTTAAATGCCATCATAGAGCCTTCATCCAGTAACTGATGGAAGCAGATGCGGAGATGCACAGCTAAGCACTGGGCTGAGCTCCTGGAGTCCAGTTGTAGAGAGGGAGGAGTGATAGATGAGCAAAGGAGTCAGGACCATCCTGCGGAGATCCACAGAGACAGCTGACCCGAGCAAGTGGGAGCTCACTGACTCTAGACTTACAGTTGAGGAACCCGCTTGGGATCAAACTAGGCCCCCTGAATGTGAGTGACAGTTGGGGAGCGTGCCAGTTTATGGGGCCACTGGCAATGGAACCAGTATTTATCCCTAGTGCAGGAACTGGCTTTTTGGAGCCCATTCCCTATGGAGAGTTACCTTGCTCAACCTGAATGCAGTAGGGGAGGGCCTTGGTCCTGCCCCAAATGATGTGACGGACTTGAATGATTCCCCATGGGAGACCTTGCCCTCTCTGAGGAGGGGGTAAGGGAGAGGGCTGGGGGGGGGTGGGAGGGAGGGAGGGAGGGAGAACTGGGATTGGTATGTAAAATAAGATTGTTTTAAAAATAGCAGAAGTAAATATAAAACAAGAAAACTATTTAAGTAAATTTATAGTGTTTAATGAGTTCTGTATAACAATTTTGTGGATATTGAATCATTTTATAAAAGAATCAAACATATCTAGGTTTGTCCTTGTACTTTGTTCCAGATTATCTGGAACACTGAATTTTTATGATGTATACTGTTACTTGCAAAGACTTCTTTTTCCTTATTATGTTTGTAATGTGTAAGCTAGTTCTATCACACAATATCTGTTAACATTATTTTGGTTTGCCTTCAGGTTTGAAGTGTTGACATTCCTTTTGTTGTGTTACAATGCTGCCTTAACCTATATGCCCAGTGTTTCTCTTCAGTCACTGTGTCAGATTTGTTCAAGGTAAATTTAAATTCTTTTTTTTTTTTTTTTTTTTTTTGGTTTTACGAGACAGGGTTTCTCTGTATAAATTCCTATTTTTTAATACTGGAATATATGAATGTAAGACTACTAGTTTGTTACATACCTAAATTATTTTTGTTTTGTGCAGTTGCTTGTTTAAAACATTATATAATTCAGTATACAGTTCAGCCCGTCAAGCACATAAAAGGTAACTTAGAAATAGTAGATACCAAAAACCACAGTGATGAATATCCAACTGAGTTGTTTGGATGGAATATTAAATCAGAGGGGTTATATTACTTATATTACATTTAAAATAATGGCATGGTCATAGCCTTTTAATTTGTGGAATGTGATTGGGTATTCCTTTTTATCTTCTTTTTTTGTGTGTGTGTGGTGCCAAAAAAGACACTATGTTTTAAGCCGGGCGTTGGTGGCGCATGCCTTTAATCCCAGCACTTGGCAGGCAGAGGCAGGCGGATCTCTGTGAGTTCGAGGCCAGCCTGGTCTACAAAGCGAGTTCCAGGACAGCCTCCAAAGCAATACAGAGAAACGCTGTCTTGAAAGAAAAAAAAAAAAGGACATTATGTTTTTCTTCCTTTAAAAAAATGTTTTGTTGAATAATTTTTAAAATTTGGGGCATGTTATACAAATATTAAAATCTTGATTTTAGCATTTGAACATTTAATAGCATATGTAGTGTTGTATGTTACATTTCTTATATTTGATAAATATGATCAGAATGATAATAATACCTCATTTTATTGGGAGATTATAGAATAATATTATTTTCCTTTGTGATATTCCATGACTCTCTAGTTTTCTATGATTAACATTTTTAAAACAATAAACAAAACAGAAACAACTGAGATTTTTACCTTTTACAAGTCAAGTAAATAAGGGCAATTATGGAGTTAAGGAGGTTAGGTAGAGATTCGCATTTGAGTAATTTATTAAGTAACAATTAGCCAGAAGAAGGGCATATTGGTTAACTTTTCTCATTGCTGTGACAAAATCCTGGCAAAAGCATCTTAAGTCACGAGAAGACTGTTTCGGCTCATACTCTCAGAATACAGTCCATCGTGACGTAAGGCATGCTGTAGTTGTGGACTGGCTGTCCAGGGGAAGCAGAGAGACGTGACCTCTGGTCCTTCGTGTTCTTCACTGCAGAACCCCGTGCATGGGATAGTACTGCCCACGTTCATTGGGGCAGGTGTTCCCTCAGTTAAACAAACCCCTCTGATAGCATCCTCACAGGTGCTCCAGGACCCCGTTTCCTAGGTGACTGTAAATCTTTTTCTGAAAAGCCCCCTGACATTGCACTCCTTCCACCTTGGGCGAGGGAGTCAGTTCATTTGGTGTACTTAATTTAGTAACAGGTATCAGAAGAATAGAAGACGGTTGGGAATCGGATTCCTCTGAGGGGAGGCTCGAGCTTCCCAGAGGCCCTTTTCTCCCCACCCCAACTTTGGGCACTTGGTGTGAGAAGTGAGGGGGCAGAGATAGGGCATGCTGGACAACACTCACAAGGGTGCAGAGACACAGGTGGACTCTTGAGAGTCTATTGTAGACCTGGGGGAGGGCAGGGCTGCGGCCAGACCCCAGGTAAGGCTGGAGATTTGGTGGATCCCGCTTTGGGCGTTTGCTTTCACTTTCTCAGCTTTGGCCTTTGGAGCAGTCTGGTCACACAAATGATCTCCTGGCCCTGACCACTGTGCCAGCCTTCCCTGGTGTACCTCCGTGGGCTTTGGCTCCTGTGCTCCCAAACTTGAGCTTGCAGTTGGCTCCGATTCCTGCTTCCAGATGCAGGGCGCCCTGCATTGGATATGCCGGGTCTAGGCCGCTCAGGTGCCATGCATCCACATTGCAGTCCTTGCAGCCTGAGGGTGCAGGGCCCCCATGGGGGTCCACTCCATGCACCTAATCTCGGTGGGGCCGTGTTGGGAAGGCGAGAAGGACTAGAAGGAGACCTCTGTGCTGCAGCTCACTTGCCGCCCGCATTGCTTCTCGTCACGAGTTTTTGTTCGGTTTAGTTTTATTCAAGTTACTTTCTTTGAAAGAAAAAAAAAAGCAAAACCTGTTGATTTCTCTTCAGAATTCTCTCTCAGGTGTTATTTTTAGATAGGGTATAAATAGTATGTGTGTCCTGGAACTCACCATATAGACCAGGCTGGCCTTGAACTCACAGATATCTGCCTGCCTTTGCCTCCCAGCTGCTAGGATTAAAGGTATGCATCACTATGTCTAGCAAAAGCATTACATTTTTTTATTTGTCTGAAATGTTCTATGAATATTTAATGAAATGACTCTAAATTATAGTAATTTTTCTGATCCTGTGGTTTGTACCAGGAACTTAATCAGGAATTAAAGGTCATTCAAAAGATCTGTTAATGACAAGATCCATGTAAGGTCCCCAAGATTACTGGTAATTAAATGGACCAAAATTAGCAAACCAACCAGCAAGTGTCTGATTCACAAGCTGCATAATCATATCACCTTTGTCTTTGCAAGCTTTTCCAAGTCTAACATATTCAGGGAAGTGTTACAGACAAATATTCAGTTTTGGAAATCGTTTTATAGATATTACATTTGTTATTTTATTGTTGGCTCATAAATATTAGAAAATCATCTGCACTAATGAATATGTTTATCTTGGTCTTTCCAGAATCTGTGTCTGTGGATATCCTCGACAACACATAAGAAAATACAAAGGCGTAAGTAGCAGGGTACCAATTTCATCTGGATTCATGGTGCAGATGCTAACAGGAGTCTATTTTGCCTTGTAAGTGTGTCTCATGTACAAAGCACACTGTTGGTTCTTTGGCGTAGTATAGCTTGCTAATCTCTTCCCTTCCCTTCCCTTCCCTTTCCTTTTCTTTTGAGTCAAGGTTTCTCTGTATAACAGTCCTGTGTATCCTGGAACTCATTTTTGTAGACTAGGCTGGCCTCTCAGAGATCCACCTGCCTCTGGAATTAAAACGTGCACCACCACCACCTGGCCAATCATCATATTTTTATGAAAGAATAGGAGTCAAGTTCTTTCTGTTTTTCTTTTTCTTTTTAATTTAAATTAGAAACAAGCCCGCTTCACATGTCAATCCCAGCTCCCTCTCCCTCCCCTCCTTCCCCGCCCCCCCACCAACCTCCCACTCTAGTCCCCCTCCACTACCCAGGGAGAGTGAGGCCCTTCATGGGGGATCCCCAAGGTTTGTCATATCATCCGGGTCAGGGCCTAGGCCCTCCCCCATGTGTCCATGCTGAGAGAGCATCCCTCCATGTGGAATGGGCTCCCAGAGTCCATTCGGATGCCTGGATAAATACTGATCTAGTATCCGAGTCCCCAAAGATTGCCGAGGCCTCCTCACTGACACCCACGTTCAGGGGGTCTGGATCAGTCCCATGCTGGCCTCTCAGCCATCAGTCTGGGGTCCATGAGCTCCCCCCTTGTTCAGGTCAACTGTTTCTGTGTGTTTTACCAGCCCGATCTTGACCCCTTTGCTCATCAATCTTCCCTCTCTGCAATTGGGTTTCAGGAGTTCAGTTCAGTGTTTAGCTATAGGTGTCTGCCTCTGCTTCCGTCAGCCACTGGATGAAGGCTCTTGGATGGCATATAAGGTAGTCTTCAATGTGATTATAGGAGAAGCGCATTTAAGATAGCCTCTCCACTATTGCTTAGATTGCCAGTTGGTGTCATCCTTGTAGATCTCTGGAAATCTCACTAGAGCCAGATCTCTCCTCAAACCTATAATGACTCCCTCTATTGTACCTCTCATCCTGCTCTCCTCTTTTCTTCCCCCGACTCAAGCTTCCTGCTCCCCCATTTCCTCATCTCCCCTCCTCTCCTCCCCCTCTCTTTCTCCCAGTTCCCTCCCTCCTCCTCCCATGTTCCCAGTCCACTCAGGAGATCCTGTCCCCTTCCCCATCTCTGGGGTACCATGCATGTCTCTCTTAGGGTCCTCACTGTTTCCCAGCCTCTCTGGCGGTGAGGATTGTAGGCTGGCATCCCCCTGATTCATGTATAAAATCCATAAATGAGTGCGTACATACCATGTTTGTCTTTTTGTGACTGGGTTACCTCACTCAGGATGGTCTCTTCTAGTGCCATCCATTTGCTTGTGAATTTCAAGATTCCATTGTTTTTTTTCTGCCGAGTAGTACTCCATTGTGTAAATGTACCACATTTTCTTTATCCACTCTTCAGTTGAGGGGCATCTAGGTTGCTTCCGGGTTTTGGCTATTACAAATAATGCTGCTATGAGCACAGTGGGACAGACATCCTTGTTGTGTGAATGTGCCTGTTGTGGTGGAATCAAGTTCTTAATACTTTTTATCATTTATAAAACATGGATTTTAAAGTTGTGCAACATTTCAAACTGACTAAAATACTTCATCATTTTTTAAAAATGCAGGGTCAGAATGAAATTGGCTAAAATGTCAATATGCTTAGCTCTTCTATACATGACTTTTTTTGCTATGATTTTCAAATTGGATTTCTAAAATCCCAAGGAATATTTTTTTCTAGAAATTTTAGCTATTCAAAAGCACTTTAGAGAATCTTCAGTGTTGGGTACCAGTATATATCTGGATCCTGTCTTGTACTGTGTAATTCTCACATTACACAGATGGTAAGGCACTTTACATTATATTCACTTGATACTTTAATTTACTCTGGCAGATAATAAGCTTCTTGAATCGGGGAAGAATTTATAACTTAAGCCAAATCTGGCCTGCACCTTGTAAAGTTTTAGAGTTGTATTCCTGTGTTTGCACACTGGCTGTGGCTGTCTTCCTGTTGTAATGGCAGAGTTGAGTAATTCTGATAGAGAGGACATGGCCACAATTTAAAACATTGGATTTGGGGGGTTGGTTGTCATTGTTACAGACACAGCGAGGCCTTGAACTCCTTTTCCTCCCAAGTCCTGAGATTATAGATGTGTGTCAGCATACCTAGCTCTAAAATACTTCTTTAGTGGCTCTTAAAAGAGACTGTTATAAGCTTTGTGTTAGATCATTAGTATTGCCCCACAGGGTTTGAATTTTTTCATTTTGAGTACTGGAGCTGGAGAGATGGCTAAGCAGTTAGGAGCACAGGCTGCTCTTCCAGAGGCCCTGAGTGGTGTCTCACAACCATGCCTTCTTCTGGCATGCAGATATATATGAAGACAGAGCACTCACATATAAAAAATTAATTAGGCCGAGCGTTGGTGGCGAACGCCTTTAATCCCAGCACTCAGGAGGCAGAGGTAGGCAGATCTCTGTAAATTTGAGACCAACCTGGTCTACAATAGCTAGTTCCAGGACAGCCTGCAAAGCCACAGAAACAGCCACAGAAACCCTGTCTCAAGAAACCAAAATTAATTAATTAATTAATTTTTTAAACAAGAATCATTTTGAGTGTCTTCTGATGATCTGTCTCCATGCTTAGCTTAACTTTTCTGTGACTTACTAGACTTGATCTGTAGTCTAGTCCAAGGCTGTTGAAGGTTTTTCATTTCTTACTGTGTTTTGCTTCTACTGTTTTTGTTCTGCTCTTTCTTATAGAGCATATCTCTTCTGAAATCTCTATCTGTGTGTGTTACCAGTCTTTTCCACCAGAGCATTTAAAGTATTGATCATAGCAATTTAAGCTACCCTATAACCTAAATATTTGGGTCACCTCTGGATTTAGTTCTTTTATTTATTTAGTGGTACTGTGGATTGGACCCAGTGGCTCATATAAGTACTCTACCGCTTACCTGAATCTCTGGCCTTGAAATTAATTCAGTTAATTACTTCGTTTATTGACAGTGCTCTTTGTTCTTATTTATAGTATGCCTTGTAATTTTTGATTGTTCGTTATCTGAATCAATAGTAGGGCAGTAGAAACTGATATAAATATGATTTATGCCTGAAAATAAGAATGATTCTCTTTTGGGGGTACTAATGAAATTTTTTAGGTAATGCTATGACGTTGTCAGAGTCAGAGCCCAGGGCCCTGGCAGCCTTAAGGAGAATTAGTAAAAAGCAGAAAAAAGAGTTCTATTGAATGTAGCCATATTGGGAGAGGAGCAAATTATAGAGGACTAGAGGGATGCATCGCTGCAGTGCACCCCTTGTGGATCCATCATTGTCTGTTCCAGTCTCTCTTACAAGGCATGGTGACAAGTTGTTGACTTATATTCCTGGGAGATAAGCTCCTTCTCTGGCAGGCACTATAACCTCAGGCCTTTTCTCCTCCCAACGTGAGACTGCCACGGAAACTCAGTTTCCAAAGGGAAGGGCACAGGTGTATCTCTTTGTTCTTGCCAGGATGGTTTCAGCAGGGGTTACCTTACTGTTGCCATAGTTACATGCACACTGCAAATCCCCCTGCTCTTACCTAGTATTTCAGCGGGAGCTGGAGTTTCCATCCTTCAGCTCTCTCTGTATGCCTGCCCCTCAGAGGGGGTCTCTTCCCCCTTTTCTTAGCCCCCTTCAGCAATAGAATGTTATTCTTTGATTCTCAATGTACACTAGCATGGCTAGGGAGACTTCTTGTCCCTGAGTGATGTGGGGCAGGGTAGGGGGTGGTCCTCAGTGCTCTTGCCTCTCCTTCAAAAGTAGAGAACCCCTAGTTCTCTCAGCATAGAATGGGGTTTATATCCTCTTTTTCCTCCCTTCAGAACCACAGTTCCTCATCAGCTATGCCCTGGGGGTTATAGGGTAATAGGATTGGCTATCCTCTCCCTAAAAGCCGCAGAACTGTTGTTCATAGGGAAAAAAGTCCTTCTACTTTCCCATGGCAGTGACCACTTAGCTCAATCAAGCCTGCGCTGTAGGGTAAAAGAAACCGACTTTGGCCCTGAAATCAGAACCATCTCTGCCCCTGATTAGCTGAAACGTGAAACCAACCAATCCCTGAGCAGCCTGAGTGAACCCAGAGCCAGTGAAAGAAATACACCCAGGATCTTGAAACCTAAGCCAGTGAAGGAAACATTTTATTCCTGAACCCAGAACCAAAGAAAAACACCCTGACTTTGAAACCAGTGCCAAAGAAACATACTTTCAAAAAGGAAACAGTTCGGCCCTGAAATGAAAGCCATCTCTGCCTGGGACCCACTAAGCTAACCAATCCCTGAGCAGGAAAACTAACCAATCTCTGAGCAGGAAAATCATCTCCCTGGGAAAACTCTGCCCCTAAGAAGCTGTATATAAGCCCTCTGCCTGCTCAGTTGCTGGCTACCCTTTTCCCACCCTGGCAGAGGCAGTCACTCTCCTGGACTCCTTCCCAAATACATCTCTTTCTCCAAAGTCTTAGGCGAAGATCTTCATTTGCTGCTGCTTCTTCTGAACTTGTGAGACGTTCCTTTAGTGAGCTGAGCAAGTCTGTAGCAAAAAAAAAAAAAAAAAAAAAAAGTCACAACTCTTCACAGGAGGAGAAAGCTGCAGTTCTGCAGGGCTTAGCAGAATAGCTGAAGAAGTCCTATCTTGGGGGACAGAGCAGAGCTCAACTGTAGCAGCTTCTCCAGGAGAGGAGCAGGGTTACTATAGACTGCAGGGAGATAATCCCCTACCACACCCTAGCCTCAGGTAGCCTAGCACCTTATAAGTCAGGACATCGTTCTCTCCAGGGCTGAGCTGTCCTGTTGCAGCTCCAACATCCAGAGCTGTCCTAGGCAGCCTGGTTTCCCAACAAGTCAGGGCACCTTTGCAGCTCACATTTTAGTGCTGAAACCAGGCACTCCCACTCGCTTACAGGTGCCACCAAAGGCCACCTTTTCTGGTCACTAGTTGTGCTTCCCATGTGCTCTGTTTCCTTATACAGGAGGTTGTGGAAGCCTGTGTGGTGGTGTGAGCTGTCCATGTATATGCTCCAGAGATTTTGTATGTGCTGCTAGCTCCAGAACCAGCTTTGTGATGTGCTAGAACTTGTTAGAAAGCTTGCCTGAATTATCCCTATTGGATGCCTAATGGCCCTCCCTCCTTTGGGTTCAGGCTATTTGGTTGCCCTGTGCCCTCAGCTCTTTGATGGATTCATTAGAAGTTAGGATTTTGGTGATAACCTGAGTTTACCTTGGCCTTAGGCCGGGAGTAATGCCTTTCCCTATCAGGCCTCACTTGTCCTCTCGATGTAATTCACATTTCTTTATTTGTTGACAGATGATCAAGCCATTATGTCTCTGTTGGCTTTTATCACTCAGTTGGTTTTAGGAAGGGTTTGCTGTATCATTGAAAGTTACACATATACAGTACATACATGCTGATTTTCTTTACTTCTCTCTCATGTTTGCAACATGAGCTGTGTTCCCTTCTAAGTGGCCATCAGAATGCAAAGGAAAGTAGGTAGGGTAGGGTGGGTTCTCATTAAAACCATGGAAACTACAGAGTAATTTGACCATAAATTGTTTGGAACATTATTCTAAAGTATGTAATTTAGTATGTTCTTCTGAGTTACTTTGACAGTGTAAGGTGCTTTCAAATTGCCTTAGCTCTTTGATTTCTGTTCTATAAATAGTCATGTTCCTTAGAGAAAAAATGTACATGTATAAAATATTCTTTGCTATTAATAGACTTTCAGATAATAGTAACTCAATGACTTAAAATGCATTCTTTAGGAGAATAGGATGGTAAGCGGTGTGCTAATGTGGCCTGTTGCTTTCTTTAGTAGAGATAAATAGTTCCTTATTATGTTCTGTTCTGTTTTATAGGATAAATTAAAAATAATACTTTCTCTGTCTAACTCCCATGACTTTGTAGATACAATGGAGAATGGGATCTGGCGCAGAAAGCATTGGATGATATTATATACAGAGCCCAGCTAGAATTGTATCCAGAGCCACTGCTGGTAGGTTCCTTGATTAAGTTTGCAAATTTTAACTTATAATTTTCCAGTTTAGAACTATGCATTGAGAAGTAATTCATAGCATATTAAAATGTGGTTATTATCAGTGTATTGCATTTAAAAGCACTTATATAATTTGGAGATTTAATTAGACTCACTTAAGATGTTTAACTGATAGTATTTTCTTTTGCACTTAAGAATTTCACCATATAGATACGTTTGTCAATCAGCATTCAACATTGAGAAAGAAACCTAGCTTAATATCTAACCATCACAAACCACATCCCATTCACACTGTTTTAAAATATAAGCATCCCTCTGACCCTGTTACTCTTTATTGGTGGGTATATGGACCATCATATAAAATACCTTGGGGAAAGTACTCTTTTTATAAATTCATTGACACTTAGTCTTATATTTTATCGAAAAGTAAATACCACAGCTGTTGATTGATCTTAAAATTTATTTTTCCTTTTAGGTTGCTAATGCAATAAAGGCTTCATTGCCTCATGGTGCCATGAAATCTAGTAAGGAAGGCACAAGGTGTATTCAAGTTGAAGTCACACCAACTTCCTCTAGAATATCAAGAAACGCAGTTACCAGCATGTCAATAAGAGGTCACAGGTGGAAACGACACGGTAAGTGCTCTCCAGATGTGGGCATTGGTGGCTTTCACAGGTTACTCTGCCACTGTGGTGCTAGAACTTGTAACTTTAGGAGATAGCACCACCGTAACACGGGAAAGAACACGCTGTCTCATCCTCTTTGACGCCTGGCTTCTCTTCCAGGGGCAGTAAACATTGAGGGGAATGGACGGTCTTATGTTAGACATATGAATGAGGAACTGTGTAAAATTTACTTACTGCAGTGGAGTAGGAGAGTAAGAAAAATACACTTTAATTCCTCGTGTATTTTCAGTTGCTATTCTTGAGTAGTTGAACATAGCCCTTAGTGAATGTTCTTACTCTCAGTCAGGAATTCAGCATGCAGGGTTTCTCACATTTTGAGCAAAACTACCGGTAACCTTACTTACGTTCTGTTTGGACTCCCTGGCAAAGAATGCCATGTTGTTGGTACAACACCAGGTATTTCTATTTTGCAAATTCATTTTCATTCAAGATTGTGTCAGTATTCCTTATCAGTTTTGTTTTATGATTTTAAAATGTTGCTGGAAGTTAATTTCACTCACCCTGCTACCTCCATGCTTTCCCATTTCCCTCTCTTCTCTTTTAATCTACTGCTTGTTTAATTCTTCATTCCTTTTAAAACTTCTTTCTAGCAGTGATAGTAGCAAGAACCAGAGGGTTCACATCACCCTCCTCAGAAGGGACCTTTGCATGGGAGGCAGAAAGCTCCCACATGAGCATCAGTATGTGTTAAGGGGAAAGCCTACTCTGCCTTCTTCCTCCTCTACACTGAAATCAAAATTGCAGCTCAGCTTGATAAACTGTAACTCGTAAAGTGTTCCCTGAGGAGAAGATGGGAAAAAGAGAAAATGGGAAGAAAGAGCATCATAACAGAAAGCTGATCCTGACTGAGAAGGCTTGCCCTTTCCCCTTCATACATGCTAAGAGAGAACATGCCAAAAAAGAACAAGAGTGAAGTCGTACAATTTAACCAATGGTCATTTTTGATCCTACTCATTTTTAAAGTCACTGCAGTCCTGAAAGTCCAACAGGGAGACAAAAGAGGTGGTGATGTTTGCTGTTAGGCAAATAGTCTACTTGCCAACCCCAAACATACTTCATTTTCTTCAGTGAAGTTATGCTGTTAAATGGGAATACATTTCAGAAAGAAAGTAATCTAATAAATATGTGGTATGCTAAAGATCAGTGATTTTGCCCAGCTTCGTTGTATGAAAATAGGTGGAAATACAACAAACCAGATCGCACTGGCCTTTGTGGACACGTGGACATAATCACTCTCAGACTACTGCTTCTGAAAAGTACAAGAATGAATTCTAATTTCTATTCTACTTCCCCTTCTTGCTGTTTAGATGGACATATTGGAAAGGTGGGGGTCATACAGTTCAAATGTGAGAGAAATATTGATGTCCCTGTATGTGTGTGTGTGTGTGTGTGTGTGTGTGTGTGTGTGTGTGTACGTGCGTGCGTGCCCAGGTATACATCTAAGACAAAGAGATACATATTCTGCAACAAGATGGAAGTTATTTTTCAGAAACATTAATAGGAAAAAATGACCCAAACAAGATAAAAAGGCTGCTTGCATGTGTTGTGTCTGGGCTGCTTTTATGGGTCTGTGTTCCATTTTGACTGCTACTTGCAGGGTTGCACGCCATCTCAGGCTACAACGTCATTTAAGTAGCTTTTTTATTTCTTGTTCTTTGTTTATTTAGCCTTCACAACACATGAGCACCCCTTGTTTATGACAGCAAAATATCATAGATGAGAAAATAGAAGAGAATGGTCTATAGAAAGAAAAGGGAGGCACACCCATAAGCAGATACAGAATATGGATTGGTCTTATTTGTCACCTTCTGTGGTGTGAATGCCTCTTACCCACTGGGCTATAATAAAATAGTGTTTGTTTAGTCTTATCTGTCTCTATAGGTAAGCTGCAGTATCCTTTTTAAGGGTAGTTAGTCTTGCTTCTCCTTCTTAGTGGATTTCTATTGCTATAACGAAATACTCTAACCAGCTCCCACTAGGACCACTTGTGAAAGATTCCACTGCCTCTCACACCATCACACTAGGAGCCTAGCATCCAGCACTAACCCGTATAGAAACCACACCTTCCTAGAGAAGCACTGTTCATGAAGTACCATGTTCTGCTCAGTTCCGCCCTTTCCTGTGTCCTTTTGTCATGTCTGTGATTTCTGCTGTCTAACCAGCACTTGATTTTTGTGGAAAAGATGGTTATCATTGTATACTTCCTAAATATGTAGACAATTTTCAAATTAAAATAGATTTAAATTTTTCATTATATAATTATATATATGAAAATTTTTGCAGCAAAGTATAAATAAAACATTTATTTAGAAATAGTATGAAGGGGAAAAACAGTACAAAAGGACTTGTAGATTCCAGAGTGGCCCACAGTGGCCCTTCTATATGGTGTTTCTGAAGAAGCATGGTACTGCGGAGGTCACTTCAGTTATGACTACAAGACATTGAGAGTTCCTGTTTTGTGGAACCCTAAATATGCTTTCTCTTCAACTCATCTCCCCACTCTTGCCACAGCCATCCTCATGGGAGGGTGTGTTTCTTTCTGAAGCTTTCACCATGTGATGCAGTTAGCACTGGGAATCTGTAACCCTACACTAGTGGTGATGGAGCCTGGGAAAGAAGGCAGAAAAGCAACATCAGTTCTAAGGAATATTCCGTTTTTTCGTTCTTGACTCCTTTGTTTTTCCACTTGGGAGAAAGACCACAGCAATTCTATTCTTTTGAACTTTGCCTTAGTTACTATTGCTGTTGCCATAATCAAGGCAACTTATAAAAGAAAGAATTTGCTGGAGGCTTACAGATTCAGCAGGTTAGAGTCCATGACCATCATGAGGAGCATGGCAGCCTGTAGGCAGGCATAGTGCAGAAGCAGTAGCTGGGAGCTCATCCCTGCTTCACAAGCCGGAGGGAGGGGGAGAGATAGGGAGGAAGCAGACAGAGAGAGAGAGAGAGATCTAATTGGGAATAGCATGAGTTTTTAAAACCTCAAAGTCCACACCCAATGCTTGATCTCCTCCAACAAGGCCACATCTAATCTCAAACCATTCCACCAACTAGGGACCAAGTATTCAAATATCTGAGCCTATTGGGGCCATTCTTATTCAAAACCACAGTTGCTGTGGCAAAATACCCTGAAGAAAGAAACTTAAGGGAAAGGGCTAGTTTTGACTCACAGTTTGAGGGTATAGTCCTCCCTGTGGAGCAAGGCAGCAGGAGTGTGAGGCAGCTGCCCACTGTGTCCCCAGTTAGGAAGAAGAAGGGGAAGCATGCCTGCTTGTTCTCTACCTCTGATACAGTCTGGAACCCCAGTCCAGGGAATGGTGCTACCCAGAGCGGCTGGTTTCCCCCACCTTGTTTAGCTAATGAAGACAATCCCCATGAAGTAGAGTGCAGAGCTGAGCAGGTGGACAGCTGAGACTGACCATCCCAAGCCTTTCCTTTTTCCGCTTGTATTTACTTGTTCTTACTGTTCTCTGTCTTTTCCCCCTCGCTCCTTTATACTTGATTAGAAGGAGTGGGTAAATAAGCTTCTCCCAGGGAAAAAGCAGGCAGAAGTTTCTTTATGTAACTTTTCTTTCTGTGTTTATAATTCAGTAACGTAGTGGTTTGTATGTCTCTCAGTCACCAAAGATTACAGCAAAGCAAACAAATACATTCAATTTTAGCAATTCATCACACTGATTCTTTTCTACTATTAGTATATTCTTCTAGTCCAGACTCATGTTTTGTTTTTTATTTATTAATTTTGAACCATTCTAATTACTTGTAACAAAGTATTTCTGAGCTATTCTAGGATGTATTTCAGGATTCTCTGAAATGTCATGGGTGTGACATTCGCTTCTTAAAGAATTGCCTGCCCACAGCTTGTATTATGATGGAAAATATCCATGAAGGTGAAAGCTACTTGAGTTCTAACAGTCGCTCACGTTCCAGAACCCAAATCCCTCCCTGTCTGGTTGAATTAGGACCAGTTTTGACATTTGCTTGGTCGTGTGTTTTACTTTTTAATTAAAGACTAGTTTTTTTTTTTCAGGGCAAGTTTAGATTCACAGCAAAACTGAGTGGAAAGGATGTGAATTTTCATATCTGCTGTCACCACTATCTTACTGTCAAGCAGCAGCACCATGGTGTGCTTAAAGGCCCTGGGTTAATAGTTTGATGATAACCCATCCTATTTCAGCTCAGTAGATTAGCAACAGAAGGCTAATTCTACAGATAGGTATCACTTTAGAGAGAGCTATTAGACAATTAATTGCATGTTGATCTCCACATGTTTTTCTCTTGATTGTTTTAATATTATAGTGAAATATTTCACTCAATGTTGTGCCTTTCAAATTCTCCAGGTCTTAAGTCTTTGAAAAGGTTTTAGTGATTCAGTCTATGTCTGTGCTTCAGTTTGGAAATGGAAGTTATAATGTACAGTTACTGCTTTGACTTTTCATAATTTCATGATTAATATCCTTATTTATAAGGTGATAATTTAATTTTCAACCCTGTTGTGTTTCCTTTTGTTCCATGGTGGCGAATAATTCAAGGCAAAGATCTATTTTTCAAATACAGATTTTTAAGGCACTTATTTGTTGAGGCTATATAGAAAGCAGAAGGCAAGTGGAGAAAAAAATACCATTGCACTTTTTAAAAAGTTAAATTAAGGATAAATAGGTTGTGATGAGAAAAAGTTAGAAATGAGAATTCCAGTAAGAAAAACAAGCTAAAGTTCGATAAAGCCATAGCATTATTTTTAAAACCGAAAAGACAATTTTACTTATTTTCTTTTAAAAGTAATCATAGGAAGAAAAGAGAAACAAAGCATTTCTTTATGCTTTATTCTGTGGTCTTGAGAGTCTCAGTAGAGCCAGCAGCATCTGCTTCTGCCTTTGCAGCTGTGGGAGCCTGTCTTCCCAGAGTCCTCCTTTGCAGCTGTGGGACCCTGTCTTCCCAGAGTCCTTTGC